CCCCCCCCTCGAACCCCTGGGAGATGCTGACTACCGCTCGCCGGCTCCTGGTCACCCACCAGAGCGGAGGAGACGGGTCAGCACGGTTGGAAATCCTGCTGCCAGGTCGAGTCAGGGCTCATCTTCCAGGACAGGTTTCTTCCCTGCAGCCGTGGTACAGCTTGAGCCACAAGAGCTTTGCTGATGTGACTCCCTGGGGTTTTGTTGTCCTGGTGGACGTTCGCCATCTCCCCTGGGTGCCGCGTGTGCTGGTAGCCCACGAAGCGCAGCCTGGGTGGACCTGGCAGATGATGAAAGGAGGCGATTTCCTACCGCAGTGTGTGTGCACTGCAAAACCCTGCTGTTTGGTCCCTTGCCATTTTGGGTTGGATCCCCTTTGCCAAGGATACGCTTGGGATGGTTAAATCGGAGACTGACGGGCGCGTGCTCTGATCAGCCGTGTTGGCAGCACCTTCCTCCGCAGGAGCAGGACGGGGCTTCGATAGCCAATGCCCTTGAACCGGTCTGACTGAGGCACGGGTGATGTTGGACCCCAGCAGTTCCCATCTGAGACTCTTTCAGTTCGGGGGGGGGGGCTTTTAATCTGCTCGGGGGCATTGAAGAACGGAGTTTGGCCTGTGACCCAGCAGCACGGTGGACAAAAATCAGGTTCCCACTGGAGCGTCGGGGTGAATGCGATGAGTTTTCAGTTCATAGTCCTCTTCACCGTCAGTCTCCAAGGGAGATGAGGTTCTTGGGAGCTCTGTGGAATAAAGCGAGTTAAAATACTTGTTTCTCCTCTTCCCACTGTCCTGTGTTTTGAAGCATTTCCAGGCTGTGGTGGGATTTGCTTTGAAGTTTGTGGAATAAACTCCCAGCTGGAGTAGGAAGGTGAGAAGGGAGAGGGGAAGATCGGTCACGCCAAGTGGAAGTGGTTTATTAATGAAAATATTGTTTTGTTTGTAGAAGGAAGAGTTAATTTTGCGAGAACACCTTTGAGGCTTTGCTGATAAAGCAAGAGTAACCTTTGTTCTTCCTGTTTTTCGGTAGGTTTGGATGAAAGACCAGGATCAGGTTCCTGGGGAACGGGAGATCAAAACAGCTCCACATTTGACCAAGGAAGGGTAAGGACGAAGCACAAACACCGAGCTCCAACCAAAATAAACGGGGGCATTACCCTGGCTTCTCGGTGCGTGTGTTTGTGCTCAGGTTGGCTCTAACTAGGGAACAGCTTTTCGTGCCCCGTTTAGGACACTGGTTCTGTTAACCCTGCGGGGGTGACAGTGGAGAGAGAGACCCCAGGCTTTGCTGCCTCGATGTCCCCCTGGAGAAAGCTTCTCCTCCAACCCCCCCCCCCACCAGACCCACACCCTGTGTGGGCTCCCCACGGCTGCTGGGGCCTCGGGGAGAGGGGGGCTCCTGGCCGCAGGGTGGGAGAGGCCCCTGAATGGGGTCACGGCTGAGCGGGTTGAGGGGTCTCGCCTGAAGGGCTCTGCCCTCGGCAACGCTTTCTGGGCGCCCACCACACACCTCTGGGAGCCCAAGGGGCCAGCGGGGGTTTGCTTTGGGGACCCTCGGCGGGGATGGAAAGCAGGGGAAGGGTTTCATGGGGAAGGAGTCGAGGCTGCAACAGCACATAACTGGGGCCTGAGGAGGGGAAGAGAGAAAAGACATTAACTTAATTGAAGTGGTGTGATTTTGACAGATGCTCGCGTTTTAATGGGTTTGTGTGATTCGTTTTTGCAATGGCACCTTTCCCTTCCCTCAGGTCAGTGGCGGAGCAGGCGCTGTGGTGTCATTTCTCATTTTTATAGGCCTTCTCCTCGCCCCTTCTCCCCCCAGCTCGGGGAGGGGGCTGCCTGGCTCTCACCTGGCGGGTGCCGAGCTGCCGGGTGAAGGCAGAAACTGCCTGCGAGCTGCCAGCCTGGGGGAAACCCCCCCCGTATGCCCCTGCTTTGGTGCCATATCCCCTCCCCACACCACAGCCTCGTGGCTGCACTGCCCTGCTCTCCCTTGCTGCGAGGATAAGATCATTTCTGTGCCCTTTTTTATGAGGATTCTTTGACCTTGCCCCTTCCTGCTGCGGGAGAGGCTGAGCTCCGGCAGCCTGGTGTTTTGGCATTTGGCTTGGCATCCCCACGCACCCGGCGGTAACTCTCCCGCGTTGCTTCAGCAGAGCTATGGCGAAGGCCCCCACTACGGCGAGCACAGGGACCTGCCGTCTCACAACAGCATATCTTCATCACCATTCCTGGGAGCTGGACTAGTGGGTAAGTGCCCTTCGGCTGCCTAGCGGGTGCGTGGTCAGAGCAGGAGAGATCTAACGCAGAATGGCAGGTGGTGATGGGAGCATTGGCGCTGGCTGGTGGTGTTGTTCCCCATGTTGGACCCGCTCCAAAAGGTGTTCTCAAAGCTGTGGTTAAAGGAGCTGCTGTCCAGAGGGTCTCATCAGTGGCTGACGTGCATGACAGCCGTCGTATTTTATGCGCGTGATTATTTTTCCCTGCCTTACAGTAGCACCCAGAGGCAATAGAGGAGATTGATGCCCGCCCTGCTGGCACGGGATGAGCTGAGTTTGCTCTTGGGAGCTGGTAATCAAGGGTGGAAAAGCACCAGGAGAGAGGGGGAGAAGAGGCACAGCTCATCGTTTTGCAACAGGCTCGTGGCTGCTTTGCTTTCCAGCCTGGCAGCCCCAGGGCGGTGCAACCTCTGCAGAGAGCCGGAGATGCTCCCTTCGCTGCAGCGGGGTTTGGAGGGGCCCCTTCTTGTGTCCTCCGAGGCTCCGGCAGCCTTGCCTGGCTCCTCCATCCCCGCTGTAACGGGGCAGCACGTGGAGCTCGGGGGGACCAGCGAGTGCCGTGCGGCCCCGGCCCCACCGGCTGTGATCCTGCGTGAGTGGATGTGTGCGACCGTTTACCCGGTTGCCTCTCTCAGCTCGGGGGTGGGAGGAGAGATTAAGAGCAGAAAATATCCATCCTGAAGGGCTTAGAGAGCTCTAATGACATTAGGTCAGGAATTGGGGTTAGTCCTCCCCACCTTTGCCCACGCAGTGGTGGTTAAAACCCTCCAGCGAGTGTGGAAGGAGCAGTGTCGTGGCTGCTAGTGGCCTTTGCTTGTGGTTTGGAGGGTGGGGTTGGAAGAGAGAATTGGGTTTGAAACAGAAAATCCCCACCACGATAGGAGGTTCCTCCGGCGGAGCTGGTCAGAAAGGGGAAGGAAGGAGCGGGGTCATGCTGGGAAGCGAGCAGCCGTGCGTTTGCTCCTCCTGGTTGGAGGCTGAGGCGAGGGGCTTGCTCTCCGCTCCGCTCCCTCCTTCTGCTCCTCTCGCTGCCGGGGGACACGCACGCACAATGTTTAGTTGCCCCTTGGGGGTCCCACGCAGACACTGAAGAGCGTTTCTGAGCAGCTCCCCCCCTGTCCCTCCGTAAGGGCGGTTCTTCCTTCTCACTTTCTGCCCCAGGAGGATGTAAGCAAAGCAGAAATGTTTCTTAATAAGACAGGGGAGCCTTGATGCAGTTCAGCAGGGTTTCTTGGGGGTGTGCGTGGGGGGGACCCATCCCAACCCGTCCCACGCCTGGGGCCAAGGCAGTCTTGAGAGTTTCCAGCCGAGAAGGAGCTGCCTGGGGAGGAACACGGAGGTTTCCCCTTTGATGTGTGCAGGGAAGACGTGTTTGGCTCCCTCTCAAAGACAGGGCTCCCAGTCTTTGGCAAGCGCCGTGGCACTCCCCGGCAAGGCTGCGAGCCCAACCGGTCCCCAGCACGTGGAGCTGCAGCCTCTGCCGCCCCGGCGGGTGATTTCCACTGGCTGTCTCCACTAGCACAGGGCGAGCTGTGGCCTCGTGGCTGGCAGGACGGTGGCCACACACCGTGCCCAAGGCTCCAGTGCCTGCCCGGGCTGATCTCCCCGTGCTGGCGCGAGGTCTCGGCCGCTGGCCTGGGCAGTCGGATGCAGCACCAGGAGCTCCCCCAACCCAAACGGGAGCTGGGGAGGCCAGGAGAGAGCAGGGGACTCCTCACATTTCAAAGTCACTTTTATTCCAAAAATTGAACGTGGTTGGAGTAGAAAACATCAATTCCCAGAGCAGGTTCCAAAATACATAAATGAGTTTTGCTTTACCACTGTGCTTGTGTGCGGAGAAGGATGGACCAGAGAACGACTACAGGTGGGAATTTCTCTTCCTCTTTACCAAGCTGCTTCTGAAAACTTTTCAAGTGGCAGAACGATAAGTGGAAGGGGAGAGAAGGGAGACCAGAAAAAAAAATAAAATGCTGCTTTTGCAAATAGTAAAAGTGTAAAAGCAGTGGCAAAGTGGGAGGGAAAGGTGAGTTTCTGAGGTGTCAGCTGCCAGTCCCTGGTTTCCAGCAAGGTCCCCCCCCCGGCAGCAGGGTGGGCAAGCTCGCGCTAAGAAGGCGATTGAATGGAACTGGGGAATTTTAAAATGTGAGGAGATGGAAGGAGCAGATAAGGCTGGACACGTCCAGTGGTACTGGGTGGACAAAAGGTGCACGAGGCTTCCATCTGAGACCTCCTCCACAATCAGAATTTGTGTCTGTTTCCCACTTGACCTCTATTTCTTCAAGGAGGATTGGAAACTGCTGGGAGAAACACTTGAGGATGAGCGTGATCTGTGTTGGAAGTTACAGGCTTGGCCAGCTGGGGAGGAAGGCTGAGCTGGAAGGGCCCCACAAAGAAAACGTGCGTGTTGGCCTCCCCCGTTGGCGCAGGCTGCGAGTGCTGGTCTCTGCCTCGGTTGGGGGGGTGCCGCCCTCCCCCGGGAACCCGTGTCCTCCCGCTTCTGTGTTTCTGGGGTCAGTGCAGCGTCCCAGATAACGGGGTGCGTTAGGGCAACGAGCAGCCTCCCCGCAGTGCAGGGACACTGCTGGCCGGGCAGCACTTGTTGGAGAAATGGAGCCAAACTGTGATTTTTTTAAAATTTTTTTTTTTTTTGGCTCTGTTTTCCACATGCATCCAGCAAGTGGAAGGGAGGCTCCATTCTCACTGGCCTTGGTGGGCTGGGGAACTCCTGCCGGCCTGAGCTTTGAAGCAACGGTCGAGGGTGAAGACTTCACCAGCCCCTGAAGGCTGAGGGTGTTTCGGGGCTGGGGCATGCAGGAGGAGGAGCGGGGCTGCAGCTGGGTGAGCTGAGACGTTTCGCCACTCGCAGACTGATCTGACACGAGCTGGGGTGTGAGGAGAGAGGTTTGAGAACTGAGGGGTGTGGTGGCCGTTTGGATGAAGGAGCAGCGGAACGTGCAAGGTTGTTCGTCCAAATTTCCTCCGGCCGTGTCCCTGGGCTGGGCTTTGCAGGGCCGGCCGGGGGGAGCTCTGGCTGCAGGTGGGTCTGGCTTGCGAGCAGCGGTGATCGGAGCAGAGCGTTGCTTTCAGGTGTATTTGCTACGGAGGGTGGAAAGTCAAGAGCAGTGCCAGGGTGGCGAACTCCACGAGAAGGGAGGGGTTTGCCCAGGAGAGAAGGAAAGCGGCTCTGAGCTCAGGGGAAGCAGGGTGCTGCCAGCACATCCCCGAACCCCCCCCGAGGCTTCATCCCTGCCTCTCGTTCCTGCCTGCGGGTCCAGGCGGGTCCCGTGTGCCATCACCCCAGCCCAGGGTCCCTTCCCGAGCGCGGTGGCAGGAGCTGGGGCAGCACAAAGCTCTGGGGCAAAGTGCCGGACAGATTTCACCCCAGAAGGACACGGTGCCTGTTGTTTCCTGCAAGCAGGCAGCAGTCCTGGCAGCGGGGGGCAGCCTGTCTGCTCACCCACGGGCACCCCCAGTCCAGCCCGCTCCGGGGATGATGATCTCTTGGGGTGCACACCCAGTCCAAACTGGGTTTGAATTCACATAGCAGGCGTTGGAACAGATAGTACTGATTTCTGTTCGGGTGGGACACACAGATACGGTATCTGGAGTTTACGGGTGTTCTTGAGACGAACGTACAGCACCCGGCAAGATGGGAGCTTGGCTTTGGGGGGCAGCTTGAGCGCAGAGCGCAGAGCGCGAGAGGGGCTGCACTGGCAGCAGGACCTGCGGGTGCTGCTCCCAGAACTGGCCTTCCCCCGCCCTCCGGGCTCCCTGGGAGCTGCTCCTGCACTTTTTGAAGGGAACATTGCGAGGGCAGTCTTCGGTTGGACGCTTTTGAAGTGCAGGTTCCCTCTGTGTCACAGCTTCAGCTCCACAAGATGATGGGGAGGGGGAAACCAGAGCTGTCTGCAAGACTAACTGGGCAGGGAGCTCTGGCCTGTGTAGCACTGGACAGGATAAAGTAAATTTAAAAAACCAGAAAGTAAGTACCTGTGTGGAAATACTGTCGGTGCTCTGAATAAAAAATCACCCCAGGCTGACAGCCAGGGGTCACTGAACCCGACGAGCAGGGTGCAGTAGCAATGCCTGCGAGCTCCATCACTCCCTCCTCCGAGTTCTCAACCTTTGAGCCCTTGGTGCCGCTCCCCGGAGGGCGGGTGACGTCCTGGCAAGGTCTGAGCATCCCAGCCTCGGTGGGGAGAGGTGGCGGGGACCATCCCTGGCTCCCCGGGGTGGTGCCAGGACACCGCGCAGTGACGAACCGCCTCGTCTCAGAGGGTGAGGAGGGCTTTTCTGTTTGTTTTAAACCACCAATCTTCCAAATCTGCCACTCTTTTACCATTCATCTTCAGCGGGGGCCTGAG